GCCACTGGGCATACCTAATAAACAATAACAGCAGACGCTTTGTCCCTCGGCTGCAGCAGAAACCTCATAAAAAATACCCCTTGCCTTCATCCATCATAGAGGCTCAGAAGCATCGGGCTCTCCGGCTCGAGAGGCGGAGGGATCTGTTTGAGGACGCAGTGTCTACAGCCTTGGCTCTCGAGGCGGCGACGGGACAGCAGCGGCAGCAGCTGCAGCAGCAGCTGCAGCAGCAGGATCAGCAGATACAGGATTTGCAGCAGGAAGAAGATGAAGCGCAGAAAGCAGAGAGCTCGGAGCCGCTTCCTCATCCTTATGAAGGAGAATTGAAGGCACTGGAGTGGCTGCTGCAGGGGGACAAGCAGCAACCAGATATATATTCAGGTATGTTGACCCCCAGCCATAGCTACGACAGCAGCATTTATCTGTTCCTCCAGCTTCTGCGCCTGCGCGAGATGCATTAGAGGTGGAAACGCCATCGGCATATCACCACGCGGGCACTAGTAGGTGTAGTGCGAGAAGTAGGCCCTGCTGCTTTGCGTTTGCATTGTTGTTGTTTTTGCTGCTGCTGCTGCTGTGGTCGCTTTCCAACAGATTTCTTTGCCTTGAAGGAGCCTCCAATGCCTCAACCTGTGGAGGAGACGCCGCTCGTTCTAGTGGAAACGCCACGGCAGCTTCGAGAGATGCTGGATGAACTGTGCAGTGGTTAGATACACTGTGCTTTCATATGCGTGTTGGTGTTGCTGCTTCTGTTGCTGTTTCTGCTGTTTCTGCCGTTGCTGTTGTTTGCGTTGTTGTTGTCTCAACTGGAGGTTGCGGTGCTGCTGCTTCTTTCATTGCCTATCTCGCTTCCCTTCGAGGCTGCTGCTGCATACGGGCTTGTCTGCTGCTGCTGCTGCAGAGGTTTGCTGCTTCGAGCAAGTTACTGATAACGCACTTCTGTTGCATGTGCTGGTGCTGGCTTCATTGTTGTTGCCCTCTCTGGCGCCGCTTCTGCTTCTTCTCAGGCCGCCACAAGGTTGTGGCTATCGACACGGAGCACCACTCGTATGAAAGTTACAGGGGCTTCGTATGTCTGCTGCAGCTTTCTACCTGCAGCAGCGTGGGGGCAACGAAGGACTTCATCGTGGATCCGTTTTCTCTTTTCGTTTACCTTCCAGCTTTGAATGAACTCACAGCA